GAGCAGAAAACTGTAGGAGAGTCATGGACTCACATAGTCTCATTATACCTCTCCCAGGAAACTTCCCAGAACCTCTGCCATATAAGTGAGCAGGGGTGAGAATAATTGGGGTCCGTCTGTTCTTGGTCTATAGTGCATGGCAAGAAAACTCTGTCTCATAAGTGAGGCTTGGAGGAGACAGGCATCCATCACCTCACAGACTGGAATTTAGTCTCCACCGTAGAGATCTGACACCATGGCTTCAACTGAGATCTGAGGGAGAGGAAGCACCATCTTCTTTTCAGATCAGCTCAAGGTCAAGTTTCTGTCATCCTGAGCTGCAAATGAGAGAGTAATGCTCGTCTCTCAAGTATGGTGGAATCTCACTGCCCTTAATGACACTTGGCAAATCTTTTAGTCTGTTTCAGCTGCTATAACAGAACTCCATAAAATGGGTGGCTCAGAAATATCATAAACATATTTTTCTGAATTCTCAAGGCTAGGAAGTTGAAGATCTAGATGCTTTTGAGATTGGTGAGGACCAGCAATTATGTTCATAGGGGTGTAACTGATATATCCACACAAAAAATTGTGCTTGGATGTTCACTTACATTTCCCCAAAAATGGACACATTTTGTATTATTCTTGATGAGTTGAGCAATTCTAAGACTTGAATAAGGAACTGAACCCTGCAGGTTCAGCACATGTATCCCAGAACTTAAAGTAAAATAAAATTCTATAAACAAACTTACAAATAAATGAGGTAAGAAAATTGTGTCAGAAAAATTAATATGGAGCCCTTGCCTGAAGTCTGATGGTGGTAAGTTACATAATGGGGCTGCGGTGAGATAGGCTAGCAAGTGCTCTAATTCTGAACCCCTCAATCATACCCAACCAGCAATGGGCCATGGGTATACTAGGGGTCCCCAGACATGGGAAAACTCTATTACTCCATAAAACTGGGCTGGGCGCCTCTGAATGCTTTAAGTTCGGAAGGAGCATCTCCTACCCCAGATTCTGCAGTCAGTCAAATCTCTGCTCTTTCCCTGGGGTCATGAGAGATGATGTGAAGAAGGGTCAGTGATATGGTTTGTCTGTGTCCCCATGCAAATCTCATCTTGAGTTGTAACTCCCACAGTCCCCATGTCGTGGGAGGAACCTGGTGGAAGGTGATTGAAATATGGGGGCGGGTCTCTCCTGTGCTGTTCTCGTGATAGTGAATGAGTTTCACGAGATCTGATGGTTTTAAAAGGGGAGTTTTCCTGCACGATCTCTCTTCTCCTGCCTGCCACCATGCCAGATGTGGTTTTCACCTTCTGCCATGATTGTGAGGCCTCCCCAGTCACATGGAACTGTAAGTCCAATAAACCTCTTTTGTAAATTGTCCAGTGTTGGAACCAGCATGATAACAGACTAATACAGTAAATTGGTACCAGTAGACTGAGACATTGCTGAAAAAGATAACCAAAAATGTGGAAGCGACTTTGGAACTGGGTAATGGGCAGAGATTGGAACAGTCTCCAGGACTGAGAAGAAGACAGGAAAATGTGGGATAGTTTGGAACTTCCTAGAGACTTACTTGGCTTTGACAAAAATGCTGATATTTTTTGAACAATGATGTCCAGGCTGAGGTGGTCTCATGTGGAGATGAGGAACTCACTGATCTATTGAGAAGCATCTCCCCTCTCTTATGAAATCAGAGCCTTAATCTGCAGGTCATGGCAGCAGATCTGGAAGATGGTGACATCAATAGGGAACATTAGAGCAGTGGGAGGGAAGAACTGAAGAAAACAGGAGAACTCTACCCCAGTGGAAGGGTCAAGAACACACAGACCAGCATCTCATCTGAAGGAGGGTCAGGAACACTTGGAATGTCACACTCAGGCTCAGGATCACAATGATTTTCTAGAAACATGGCCCCATGAGAGGTCAGAGACTTTTCCTTTTGTCTAATGACTTCCACCAATTTCACAATTGGCAGTTAAATACAACAGTTTAATCCACCTTCGGAATCTGAAATAGATTCTCTGTAGAATGGCATGATTTTACATGAATCACTCCATGAAACTGTCTTTACAGTGACTAGATTTGCGTGTTGAATTTGACATGATGACCATGATGCTGATGATGAAGATGACGTTCTAAGAAAAATAACCCAGGTTCAAAGAGCTAACTGCAGAGTCATTTTTATGTCTGTTTTTCTTTGGGACATGAAGGGCATGAGGTCTAAGGAACATGATGAATGGTCTCCTGAGGGTTGGATGCTGTTAAGCAAATAAGACAACCCTTGATGGTAGTCAGAGGCTCCCTGGCTGGTTCCTCGCTGCATTTGCTCCTCACTGGGGCTCTGCCTTTTGTGAGTTCTGAGCATCTCCTGCTGGTCCTCTGCTGCCCATGCAGCCCAGATAAAGGAGGGCTGGGGGATCTGCTTCTGAGATGCCCAGTCCTATGTCTGGCTCCAGTTCAGGAGCTCAGCCTGTCCTGGGGGCTGAACCTGTTAGCTCTCCTATGCGTACTTGCCTGTACACTGAGCTTCATCACAGTAAGGTGACAGGGTCAGCGTCACAGACAACACTGCAGGCAATTTTCAGCAAATCTCATTGTAGTTTGACTGTATAACTAAGCAATTATGTTCATTGGGGTGTAATTGGCTGACATACACACACACACACACACACACACACACACATATTACATGGACATTCATTTACATTTTCCCCAAACTGGACACATTTGGTATTATTCCTGAAAAGTTCAAAAAATTCCGAGGTTTTAATCACAAACCAAAAGATAACATTTTCTATAACCAAACTTACAAATAAATGAGAAAATCAGGTCAGAAAAATCAAGATTGAGTTATTACCTGCAGTCTAATGGTGATAAGTTACATAACGGAGCTGTGTTGAGATAGGCTCCCAGGTGCTCTAATACTGAACCCCTCAATTACAGCTGACCAGCAATCTCTGGCAGTGGGGAAGCTAGAGGTTCCCCTACATGGGATAGCCCTCTGACTCCATAAAACTTCTCTGGGCTTCTCTGCAGGCTCAGAGGTGTGCAGACTCCTACCCCAGATTCTGCAGTCAGACAAATCTCTGCTCTTTCCCGGAGGACACAAGAGGTAGTGTGGATAAGGGCCAGATGTGCTCTACTCAAGGTGTCTGCACATCAAAACCAGTGAAAGTGGAAAATGCATGTTCTCGATCCTTTGAACAATACCCATGAAAAAACTCAACTCTGTGCCAAAGCCTCATGTAGAATTAATAAATAATGCAAGGGAAATAAATGTGAAAAGTACAATTGTTCACAGGTGCACGCTTGTTCATATATTTTCCAATAAAATACAGTAAAAGCAGGTGTTCTCTATAAAAATCCACAAACACTGCGTTGACTCTGAGAATGCACCTCCCTCCATCATCCTACAGGCAGCAAAATGCAGGTGGATCAGGTTTCCAGCAGCTGCTTTCTGACATCTGTGGCATGTCGTGTGCTGAGGCCCATGTCCTGTGGTCTACTCCAATGAAAGGACTGACTCCACAGCTATTCCTAAGCAGAGCCATTTCTGGGAGTCATGAGGATTCCCTGAGAGGTAGCACTGACTTGCACAGGACTTAATTATATTTTGCATCTTCCTTGCACAGCACAGCAATGTAAGAAACTTCCATCCAATCCACCCTCTCTCTCTCCTTCACTCAGACACAGGCTTCCATCATATGCCTTCAGCTTCCCAGGCTCATTCCACCCCCTGTGCATTTTCTCTCCGAGGGGTGGATGTAGTTATTAAAAAATGCAGGGAATCTTCATCCCTTCTTGGAGTTTTCTGTTTAGAAAACCAATAATAACACAAATGTTACCAGAAAGGGGTCCCAATTCGGGTGAATCCACAAAGTAAAATGAAAGCAAGTTTGTTAGGAAAGTAAGAGAATAAAGAATGGCTACTCCATAGGCAGAGCAGTGGCATGGGCTGCTGGGTGTCCATTTTTCTGGTTACTTCTAGATTAGGAATTCTAACCCATCTTTCCCGATGGCCAGCAGTATTGACCTTCGGCATGCCTAGCCAGATCCTACAATTACTGTTACCCAGAGCTCAGGGTACAATGGAGTGTCCATCCTCAGCTCTCCTCAAAGTCACAGGTGAGAGTGCAAATATGTGACAGTGTGAGAAGCCCAATATCACCGCTACATCCGTATTCCATTGGACAAAACTAGTATTATTCCCTTCTTGGCTAATGTCCACCCCATTTTCCAAATGCCTCCATGCACAGAAGACAGCAGGAGTGTCCAGGCAATGGTGAGTGAGAAAGTTCCCTCAGCCTACCCAGGTCCTGCAGACCCAAGCCCTGGGAATTTCACTACAGAAAACACATCCTCTGTTTTCAGGGAAGAGAAGAAGAAAGTAGACTGTGAGAATCAAGTCTACAGAGAAGGAAAATGGATTTGCAGAAAGAGGGTCAACTGAATCAGTCTGAGTCAGACATGCCTAGTTTTACAAGACGAGGGGGGATAGCCATGAAAACCATAAGGTTTTAAGGACCCTGGCCCTGGGTGAGCCTCTCTCTTGGCTCCTATCAGAACTCAAAGCCTGTTCTAATCAGAGATTCCCATGGAGGTCTCTGCCCTGAGTCTAAATAGAAAACACTCTCCAGATTCTGGGGGCATCCTCAGAACTCTCATCCTGTTGACCCCAGAGTGACACTCTGGTTTCTGTGGAGGTGAGGATGTGTCCTTCTGTAACAACAACAACAACAAACAAAAAAACAAAACAAAAACAGAATTGGAAAAAAGTTTTGCATTTAGAGACATGAAATGTTAGTACAGAATTACAAATCTAGAGAAGTTCCCCGGGGAAATTTGACAATGAGGCATCACCAGACCAAGACAGAAAAGCCAGCTCTTAGCAGCACCTGCACTGGGCCTGGAGACAGCCCCAAGCACAGTGTCCCGGGTGCCCCCTGATGGTCCCGGGGATCACTGCAGGGAGGTTTGTGTCGGCTCACACTGACCTCCCCTCACCGTGTCTCTCACACAGTAATACACAGCCGTGTCCTCGGCTCTCAGGCTGTTCATTTGCAGATACAGCGAGTTCTTGGCATTGTCTCTGGAGATGGTGAATCGGCCCTTCACGGAGTCTGCGTAGTACATGGTACTACTACCAATGTATGAAACCCACACCAGCCCCTCTTCCGGAGCCTGGCGGACCCAGTGCATGCCATAGCTACTGAAAGTGAATCCAGAGGCTGCACAGGAGGGTCTCAGGGACCGGCCAGGCTGTACCAAGCCTCCCCCAGACTCCACCAGCTGCACCTCACACTGGACACCTGCAAACACAGAGACACCCTGGTCAGAAACTGCCACACATATTCACTGTTTATCTCAGTCATATCCACTCACACTCAATCTCTCTAGTTTTCCATGAATCACCTTCTAAAATAGCAACAAGGAAAACCCAGCTCAGCCCCAACTCCATGGTTGGCGATCTGTGTTCAGGGCTGATCACCAAGTGGAAGTTCTTGGAATCCAGGGCTAAGGCTCCTCTCTCGGAGCTGCAGGGTCAGGGTTGGGTTGGTTTTCATCAGTAGAAGGAGGACCCTATTTGCATGTCTCCTAATATATAACGAACTCTAGGGTGCGACGCTTGAGGAGTAGGCTGTACCCAGATAAAAAGACCGTGCTCTGAAGAAGTTTGCTGATAATGATGTTATTTGGAAATTATGCCACATTATTATGAAATTGTGCTGTGATAAACACTTTGCTCTGATGAATCTATTTCCTGTTTAAATAATTGTGTAAATTATGTTCTATAGGAGTCAATATTTTCTCCATTTATGGATGTAGAAGTGAACCCACACATGGAGGGGGCTCTGTATGCATCTAGGAGCTCATGTCTGGGTTGAGTGAACCCCGGTATCTGGCCCTGTGCTCCTCATCACCGGCTCTGACTGCTCCCTAAACCAACTTCAGTACAAAGCTGGATGTCCTTAGTGTGGTTTTCAGAACCCACTTTGTGTAATAAGAGCATGTGTGATGTTGCCGCACTCCAGCTCTCACCTGAAAATATGGAGAGAACTAGGGTCCAGCCACACTAATTTTCAGGTACTTCTGACATTTAACATATTTTTGTATCTTTTGGTTACTCTTTCCTTGTCTAGGTTTCCATTTGTTTGCTTGTAATACATTTTATGAGGCTTAATTGAAAGATAATAAACTTCACATATTAATGCACAATTAATAAACATGATGTAACTGTCATCATTATCAAGAAAGTGGACAAGTGAATTCTTCTCAACATTTCCTCTTGTTCTGCAATATTCCTCCTCCTTTCCCCTTCCCTTCTTCTATCATCACCGCTGGCAACTACTGATCTTCATTATATTACTTTAAATGCATTTTTACTTAAAAGAATGTATAAACATGAAATAATGTAGTATATACTCTTATTTGTTTGGCTTATTTTACTCAACATAAATACTTAGATATTTTACTTTGCTATTCTGTGTATCAGGTATTTATTTATTATAAATGATGTGTACTATTTCAGTGAACAATTTTACAATAATTTGTTTTTCTATTAAACAGCTTACAAATATTTCTTTTCTTACTCTTGGTCTTACTAAAAAAATCTGCTACTCAGCTTGGAAATGTACATATATGAAGAATATATTTTACTTATTTTTTTTTTACCATAACATCAACAATAACACAAGCCGAGAAGGCAGAATTTTGCAAATTTTTTAATACTATAGATGCTCGAAGTTTTAAGACAAACATTAAATCTGAAATCTAGCTGGAGGCAATTTCATGTAGAGAGTAACAATGCCAGGGTATGAGCTGAACTGAAGCAGAGCCTGGCATGTAAAATGTAAGGTATAACTAAAAACACAAGTATATATTGGATTGCTTAAAGTCGAGTGTGGTCAACATGTTGCAGTATGAATATCTAAAGAACCACATCATGAAGAGCTTTCATATTCTCTTGAATCCCTTTTCCCAAAAATGGGGACAGTCACAGAAATCTTTCTGTCCCAATGTGTCTGTCTGGGAAAGAAAAAAGAGCCCACACTTCTGAAATCCACTCAGACTCACTTCCTGTATTCCCACTGCAGAATTAAGAATTACACTGGTCGGGCGCAGTGGCTCATGCCTATAATTCCAGCACTTTGGGAGGCCAAGGTAGGTGGATCACTAGGGCAGGAGTTTGAGAGCAGCCTGGCCAATATGGTGAAACACCATCTCTAATAAAAACACAAAAATTACCCTGGCATGGTGGTTTGCGCCTGTAGTCCCAGCTGCTCGGGAGGCTGAGGTAGTAGAATCGCTTGAACCCAGGAGGCAGAGGTTGCAGTGAGCTGAGACCGCGCCACTGCACTCCAGCCTGGGCGACAGAGCGAGACTCCATAAAAAAAAAAAAAAAAAAAAAAAAAGGAAAAGTCAAGACTCTGCATAAGACACAACAACCAAAGAAAATTTCAGGCCAATATCCCAGAAGAACAATGATGCGAAAATCCTGAATAAAACAATGGCAAACCAAATCCAGCAGCACATCAAAAAGCTTATCCACCACGATCATATCGGCTTCATCCCTGGGATGCAAGGCTGGCATATGTTAATATGCAAATCAATAAACATAATCCATCACATAAACAGAACCAATGTCAAAAACCACATGATTATCTCAATAGAGGCAGAAAAGGCCTTCGATAAAATTCAACAAGCCTTCATGCTGAAACTTCTCAATAAACTTGGTATCAAAGGAACGTATCTCAAAATAATAAGAGTTATTTATGACAAACCCACAGTCAATATCATACTGAATGGGCAAAAGCTGGAAGCATTCTCTTTGAAAGCCGGCACATAACAAGGATGCCGTCTGTCACCACTCCTATTCAACATAGTATTGAAAGTTCTGGCAAGGGCAATCAGGCAAGACAAAGTAATAAAGGGTATTCAAATAGGAGGAGAGGAAGTCAAATTGTCTCTGTTTGCAGATGTATATTGTATATTTAGAAAACCCCATTGTCTCAGCACAAAATCTCCTTAAGCTAGTAAGCAACTTCAGCAAAGATTCAGGATACAAAATCAATGTGCAAAAATCACAAGCATTCCTATATACCAATAACAGACAAACAGAGAGCCAAATCATGAGTGAACTCCCATTCACAATTGCTACAAAGATAATTAAATACCTAGGAATCCAACTTATGAGGGATGTGAAGGACCTCTTCAAGGAGAATTACAAACCACTGCTCAAGGAAATAAGAGAGGACACAAACAAATGGAAAAATATTCCATGTTCATGGATAGGAAAAACCAGTGTTGTGAAAATGGTCATGTTGCCCAAAGTAATATATAGATTCAATGCTATCCCCTCAAGCTACCACTGACATTCTTCACAGAATTAGAAAAAAACTACTTTAAATGTCATATGGAACCAAAAAGAGCCTATATAGCCAACTAAGCAAAAAGAACAAAGCCGGAGGCATCATGCTATCTGACTTCAATCTATACTACAAAGCTGCAGTAGCCAAAATCCCATGGTACTAGTACCAAAACAGATATATAGACCAAGGGAACAGAACATAGAACTCAGAAATAATGCCACACATCTACAACCATCTGATCTTTGACAAACCTGACAAAAACAAGCAACGCTGAAATAATTCCCTATTTAATAAATGGTGTTGGGAAAACTGGCAAGCAATATGCAGAAAACAGTAACTGGACTCCTTCCTTACACCTTACACAAAAATTAACTCAAGGTGGATTAAAGACTTAAACATAAGACCTAAAACCATAAAAACCCTAGAAGAAAACATGGGCAATACCATTCAGGACATAGGCATGGGCAAAGACTTCATGACTAAAACACAAAAAGCAATGGCAACAAAAGCCAAAATTGACAAATGGGATCGAATTAAAATAAAGAGTCTCTGCACAACAAAAGAAACTACCATCAGAGTGAACAGGCAACCTACAGAATGGGAGAAAATTTTTGCAATCTATCCATCTGACAAAGGACTAATATCCAGAATCTACAAAGAACTTAAACAAATTTATAAGAAAAAACCCAACAACCCCCAAAAAAGGTGGCAAAAGATATGAACAGACACTTCTTAAAAGAAGACATTTATGCAGCCAACAAACATATGAAAAAAGTTCACCATCACTGGTCATTAGACAAATGCAAATCAAAACCACAATAAGATACCATCTCACACCAGTTAGAATGGCAATCATTACAAAAGTCAGGAAACAACAGATGCTGGAGAAAATGTGGAAACCGTCATTCTCAGCAAACTATCACAAGAACAGAAAACCAAACACCGTATGTTCTCATTCATAAGAGGGAGTTGAACAATGAGAACACATGGACACAGGGAGGTGAACATCACACACTGGGGCATATCAGAAGGTGGGGGTGGGGGCCAAGGGGAAGGGTAGAATTAGAGGAATACCTAATGCAGATGACAGGTTGATGGGTACATCAAACCACTATGGCACCTGTATACCTGTGTAACAAATCTGCATGTTCTGCACATGTATCCCAGATTTTAAAGTATATATATAAAAAAAAATGCAGTAGTGGAAGTGATGGATCATTTGTTAGTTCTGTTTGTACTTTTGAGGCACCTCCACACTGCTCTTCACAGTGACTGTACTAGTTTACATTCACTCCAGCAATGCATACGAGTTTTCTTTTCTCTGTGTCCTTACCAGCATTTGTTAGCATGTTTTTCTTTTTTGACAACAGCCATCTTAACTGATGTGAGATGATACTTTCTACAATTCTGCAGGCTGTTTGTTCACCAAGTTGATTATTTCTTTTTCTTTGCAGAAGATCTTTAGTTCAGTTGAGTCCTGTTTGTCTACTTTTTTTCATTGCATTTCCTTTTGAAGTCTTAGTCATATTTTGTTTACCTAGGCCAATGTCCCGAGAACTGTCCCTTATATTTTCTTCAAGTATTTTTATAGATTCAGTTAATACATTTAAATATTGAATCCATATTCAGTTAATTGTTGTCTATGGTAAGATGGAAGTCTGGTTTTATTCTTCTACATGTGGCTGTCCAATTCTCCCAGCACCACTTACTGAATAGAGGGTTGTTTCTCCAGTGTATATTTTTTGTCATTTTTCTCAAAGAACAATGGGTTGTAGGTATTCGGCTTTATTTCTGTGCTCTGTATTCTATAACATCACTCTTTTTCTGTAACAGTACCATACTGTCTTTCTTACTATATCTGTGTAGTGTAATTTGAAGTCAGGGAATGTGGTGCTTCCAGGTTTGTTCCTTTTTCTTATGATTTATTTTGCTATTCAGGCTCTTTTTTGATTCCATATACATTTTAGGATTTAAAAAAATATATGTAATCAATTATGTTGGTTACTTGATAGAAATTTCATTGAACCTGTATATTGCTTTGGGCAGTGTATTAGTTCATTTTGCATTGCTATAAATTAGTATCTGAAGCCAAGTTATTTATAAAAAAGAGGCTTCTTTGGCTGACAGTTCTGCAGGCTGTGTGAGA